ATACGAAATCGAAATAATCTATAGTCAGAATTTTAATTCGATTCCAGATTTGACATTAGCTACTGTCATTTTGTGAAATAATGATACCACATATAATAGTGATGAACACTTAAATCGATAAACAATCCAATCAGTGTGTTTTATAATAAATGTTACAGAAAGTGACAGCGTTAGCGACAGCGATGACGGCGACAATTTATAAAATAAATTATTACCATAATACATCAATCTGTTTTATTTCTCATGTTCCTTCATGATTACATTCTTTTATTTATTTCACACACAATTAATTATAAAAGAAACGTCTTAGATGGTTAATTAATCGTCAAAACTAAATTATCAGTCAGAAATATTTAATTTCCTGATATACTTAGTTTACGAGAGTAAAATTATAAACGAGAAAATCGATCCGGAAATATTCCATATCGAATAATTTCGCAACATCACTATTTAGTACTTGTCATAACGTTGCAACACTGATATTGTCTGGAATCAATTTAAAATTCCGAGTATACCTACCTAATATCTAATAGGTAATGTATAATTCTTATACAGATCCGAAATAACAAATCTCGTAACATGACTAAACGTAAACGAGGTCAACATATTGGAAATATATGTATTAAAATTATTGTTTATTAATTTTGAACTCTATTATAACAACAAAATATGATCCGAAATCTGTCGTTATAGTAAATTAGCGCCTGTGTACACTCGCAATTGCTTAAAATAACTTTCAAATGAATAATTGATCCCAATTACTCATTCGAAAGTTATTGACATCCGTCAATTCTACATTTAATATGAAAAGTTTACCTCTATACGTGACTATTTTTTTCCTGAAACTCAATATTTAATGACGATGACGTCTTATAAAACGTACCGTTATTCAATAATCACTACCTATCACTTCAGTAATTAAATGCGAAAGTACCTACATACCTATATATGTTTGTTACTCCCGACGGTATTATTTATTGTCCTTAAGGTTTTGGTTTTGAGTTATCTACATTGTTCTCGCACAATCCAAACAACAAAACTATGTACCTAACTAGAGAATTGTATTGTGAACCTGATGGAAAAAGAGTAACCTATGGAGTTTCTTGCTCGTTTTTCTCCATAGGAATCTACACCTTGGAATGAGCAAATAGCTTCAGTATTCAACCGACTTCAAAAAAAAGGAGGAGATTCTCAATTAGACTGTATTTTTTTTAAGTTTGTTACTCGATTACTCGAAGACGCCTGGACCGATTTCAAAAATTCTTTTTTGTTTGAAAGGGTAGGTTTGTCATTTGATCCCATTGTTCTGAAGTCAGGATCTGATAATGGAATCCCAGGGGAACCGAGGGAAACTTTTAAAAATCATAGGGGCGACAAGTGCATTTGTTAATTTTTTTGTTAATTATTTAAAACCACTATAATTTGATAAAGGTTTCGAGCTGATCTGATGATGGAGCCGAGAGGCAGTCGAGGGAACTCCTCAACGGTTAACAGTAGCTACATGAAAGAAGAAAGAGAAACAAAGAAAAAACATTTATTTGACAATTAGCACACAAAACAGAATATAAATACATTGTGTTTGGGTTTGATTAATTTATATTGATGAGGACTTTATGCCTAGGTATAAAGTTAGAGCTTTTTAGTGCTTTTTAGTTTTTACTTTTCGTTTGTTTTTAGTTTTTGAAGTAGTTTTTTTTATACGCCGTTTTTAATTTTTATAATTTTTTGTTGACGTTCAAAAGTGCCTTTCTGATCTAGTTGATCTTTCTTCTGATGATGATTGATAAATGATTTTGACTTTGACTGCTTCACGTCAAAACGGCTGAAGAGATCAAGATGAAATTTGGAACAGGGGTAGGTCTTTGTCTAGAATAGCATATAGGCTAGTTTTTAACCTACGGGAACGCGGACGAGGTCGGTGAAAAATGAATATCAGGCAGATGAGCAGACGGGTCGATCGACATTGTTATTGTGAAATTTCATACTCTCAAGTTGCAACACTAGCACCTATTGCATCCCTATTGCGTTAATATTTAATGAACTAAATGGTATTGAGTTTGGCTTTATATTCCGTACTCTGAATGCTATTTTAACAGCTACGATAGGGGTTGTATAATTTTGACATTGAATAATTATTGAAATTTTATTGGATTGAAATTACATTGAGATTGGTTTCAAGAGTAAGCCTGATGGTAAGGGATCAGCGCAGCGCCGCTAATGGACACCCGACCACCAGAGGAGTCACAGGTGCGTTGCCGGCCTTTTAAAAAGAATTACGCTCTTTTCTTGAAGGTTTGAAGGTCGTATCAGTTCGGAAATACCGCCGACGACAGATCATTCCACAGTTTTGCTGTGCGAGGCAGAAAGCTACGTGGGACGCTCACAGGTATGCCCTGCCAAACATCTATATGATGGAAATGCATATGCTGTCGAAGGATCGATAGCGAAAAAATGCGGAAGGTACAAAACAATTCGTCAGAGCACTCCCCGTGGTATAAGCGGTAGAAAAAGCACAATGAAGCTACATTTCTACACATTGCCAAAGTGTCTTTCATGGGAGAGCCATGCTTCGGCGCGAATGGGCCGGCTCGACCGGAGTGATACCACGGCCGAGCAGAAAACCGGCGTTAAATGATCGAAGCGTTGTGTGCAGCCGTGTGTTATACTGGAGGCCCCTTACCCTCCCGAAGTTCCTAAATTCCTTAATCCACGAATCCTAAGCCCCCATGAGGCTGGCAACGCACTTGTAACGCCTTTAGTGTTATGGGTGTCCATGAACGACGCCGATTGCTTACCATCAGGTGACCCGTCTGCTCGTTTGCAGCCTATAGGCTACAGGTAGGTATTATCAAGACAAAAATAGCAACAGACTCCGTTTAAATATCTTTTATTTAAACATAACAAATTCTTATTTACAACTTTAAATATTTACAATCTTATTTCTAAACAACATAAATAATTACCTCTCGCGCGTTTCTCGTACACACGGGTGTACGAGAGAGTCGAGTGCCCATCGCGCAATAGGCATGGCGACTATTTTTTAATTTTTTGTCCGTCTTTTAGATATTTTAAAAATCTTCGATACGTATTTTTTCTTTTTTCTCGTATCCAAAAAAACATGTAGATATTTTGAGTTAAAATGACGCGTGACGTCACACTTAGGTACGATTTCTCCGTAAGTGTGACGTCAACACCCCCCACTCCCTAACTTTAATGCGGAATAACTACGTATTCTTCTGTTAATTTGATAAAACAAAAAATACGTGTCTGATATTTTCGTGCGATCTTAATGACGGACTAATTACTTTTTTGTTTTTTTTACCCTGTCGACACGCCTATTGTACACACGGGTGTACAAGAAACGCGCACCGGTGAGAAATTTTTTCTTCGACGTATATTTTCAAGTTTGCAACCCGTTCTTTATTTGATTGAACAGAATAGTTAATTCGCGTTTCTATTCAAATATTTACTCGTGTGTACGAGAACACGTGAGAGGTTAAATAATATGGTATAAGGCAGAGATGTTTAAACACTACTTTTCTTTAGTTTACAGTCATCACCAGTCCGTAATTGTCCCATTGCTGAGCAAATGCCTCTTATCACACAGAGAAGGATTGAGCATTAATCACCACGCTTGCTATATGCGGATTGCCGATTTCAAACTTTAATTGGGTACTTGTTTTCAAATTCAATACTTTTTTCGAACTGTCAAAAACGTCAGTTTTCTATGAATTATGTACGAGATAGTGTATTGTGACGTCACGATTTTTGAGCGTCAAACAGCATAACTACTTATTTCTTAAAAATTTGCTGGAGAAATTCTAAAAATAAATTAGTCATAAAATCAATTAATGAAAGTGTGATTATTTTTTAATATTTTATTGTATTGTGCAGTCGGAATAATTTATTTTTGATTGAGGCAAGTACCCAATTCCTTCTTATATGGCAACGCACTTGTGACTGTAGAGTAACGGCGCTAATGTGTGCTACTTTATTTTTCATCACTAGATGGCACTACTGTGTATTCTCGTTGTTCTTCCAATAGAGAATTGGCTAGTCACGCCAGACGTTCAATGTCAGCTACGGTGATTGGACAAAAAGATTTCTCGCTAGATTTGCGCCATCTAGCGAGAACAGACATGGTATCCATTGCTTACCATCAGCCTGCTAGTTTTAGTTTACGGTCTATACCATAAAAAATATAATACAAAAGGCCGGGTTTCCTTCACTATGTGTTTGAGGTGTCTATGTGAAGTTATAAATAAAATACAGATTAACAAAATTGAAGTCTGTACAGTTTTGTTGTGAACAATAACTATCGTGAGTCATACTTACTTTACTTTAATTTTGATCGATTACTTATGTTAAGGAATTTGTTTATATAAATAACTTGACCTAGAATTAGTAATATTGTGAGTGCTCCTCTCGCCTGTGATACAGGATATTCTTCCTAGTACAGGCATTCAAACCTAGTGAGATCTCTGATTTTAAATTAAGATGTTTATCTGTACCATGACCAATTTCTTATAATGAATAAAGATTTCTTTATTTATTTATTTATTTATACTAAATGAACTAAAAATCGCGGGTTACTCACGTGAATATACTGAGAAAAGCTCTACTAGTTTCGAACCACAGAGGGGTTCTTCCTCATGAGCAGCGTGCGCGGTCGCGGCGACGTGTACAGGTCACTGGGTGTCGTCGGCGCTGGGCTCGGTGTCGGTCCCTGCGCCGTGACTCCGTGAGCCGCCGCCCTCTGGCGGACAGTGCGAGCGTTTGCTTGCAGTCGGCAGCGGCGCGTGCGACGCTGTTGAAGCGCACGGTACGTTCACCAGTGTCGTGGGTAGTGGGTTCGATTCCGGAGAGCTTTTCTCAGTATTTTCACGTGAGTAACCCGCGATTTTTAGTATTCTGTTTGTAATATTGAAATAACCGCTGTTTCCTACTTGCATATGAATATACATACTATACACATACTAAAATATTCTCTTTAACAATTTTGTCTGTCTATCTGTTTGTACTAGGTAACCTCTGAAAGGGCTGGACCAATTTTGACGGGACTTTTATTGGCAGCTAAAGTACTAAGGAACTAACTTAGACTACTTTTTTCAACGCGGACTTGAAGTCACACGTATAGTTAGTAAAATAATAAATGAAATCGCTATACTATTTCATATCCTCTTCAGTCAATTTCACTACTTTTGGTGTGTCTATTATTTTATCTATTCTGTGTAGGTCTTTTAGGGAGACCTGGCCAGTGCCTCTTTCCTTAGGTATGGGTTGGGATGGATCTGGCTTCCACCCCAGGAAGTTGATAATCTGGTATGTAGCTGGAACACCGCGTACTTTCTTATCTGGCATTTCCTGAAAAATATATGTATTAACTGATATTATAAAGAGGAAAGATTTGTACCTATTTTTGTATGTTTGTAATGAATAGGATCAAAAAGTACTGGGCCGATTTAAAAAAATCTTTCACCAATAGAATGCTACATTCTTTCAATTAAACATAGGCTACATTTCATTTTGAAAAAATTAGGGATCCTTGGTAAAATTTGAACAATGTAACCGAAGGTGTAGAAAAATGAGTCCTAAAATGTCTTTCGTCGAATGCGCTGCCGAAACTATTAGCGATGGAACAAAATAATGTACAACAATATTGAAGAACATCATATTGTATACAAAAAACTCCGCGGTAGCATATGTCCAACTATTGTAATTATGTCACTACAACAATCCAAATTTCCAAAAATAAATAATTGTCTACCCCGTGCGAAGCCGGGACGGTAGTAGTGCTGCTAGTGTATTAATAAAATTAAAGTTTTAGTGTGGGCCGGCTCGACCGGAGTGATACCACGGCCGAGCAGAAAACCGACGTGAAGCAATGCTTGCGTTATGTGCAACCGTGTGTTATACTGGAGGTCCCATACCCTCCCGAAGGTCCTAAATTCTTTAATCCACAAATCCTAAGCGTCCTGGCTTATGGGGGATAAAGCTGAAAACATGCTAGTAACTCCTTTCGTGGTCCAGATGTCCATGGGCGACGACGATTGCTTACCATCAGGTGATCCGTCTGCTCATTTGCCGGGTATGCTATAAAGAATTTAAGCAATAAAGATTTTGTTGGTCAAATCACGACAAAAGCAAGTATAGCGATGCGTAGCGCGGCTACTGGCTGCCCGGCAACGTGTAGCGAGTTCGATTCCCGCACGGAGCAAATCTTTGTGTGATCCACAAATTGTTGTTTCGGATCTGGGTGTAATTTGTATGTGAACTTGTATGTTTGTAAACGTACCCACGACACGGGAGAAATCCTAGTAATCTTAATAAGAAACATTCCAAAGGGGCCCCGGTTGTATGCCCTAGGTCCATAGCGTAGTCTAAGACGGCCCTACCCATTGGATATAAAATATTTGACAGCTACATTGATTGGACATACAGACCTAAATCTAGATTAGCGCCATCTAGTGGGCATAACACGAAACCTCATTGAATGTATGTATCGCTTTATGACATTATTATTGCATATTCGACTGCACGGTTGGTGGGATGGCTAGGCAACCGGCTACCGTGCAAAGTGTCGCGGGTTCGATTCTCGCACGGAGCAAATTTTTGTGTGATCCACAAATTGTTGTTTCGGATCTGTGTGTCATGTCATCATGTGTATATGAACTTGTATGTTTGTAAACGCACACACGACACAGGAGAAAATCCTAGTGTCGGGCAACGTTTTTTAAAAAAAAAATGACATACCTTTCCATACATTTCATCGTATATGCTGGCCGCGGCGAATTGCACCTCCTTAGAGATCCTCAGAGGTCGGTTGTGGGCTGCGTTTCCCTCTCCGATGGCCCTCACGTCCCTCATTACCTCCCACATACTGGGGTACCACACTACAATGGAGTCTACATCCACCGTTTGCAATGTGAATCCACTCCTGAAATAAAACATAGCATCATCAGCCTATAAGTAGGCACTGTGGACCAAAGGCCTCTTCTCACACCCGTTTTAAGTGTGGGAGAGCCATGCTTCGGCACGAATTGGCCGGCTCTACCGGATTGATACCACGGCCGAGCAGAAAACCGACGTGAGCAACGCTTGCGTTGTGTTTCGTCGTGTGAGTGAGGTTACCGGAGGCCCAATTACAATACAACCCCCCACCTCCTACCCAGTCTCCCCAATCCCCGAATCCCCCACAATCCTTAAAATCTCAATTGCTAAAAGGTCGGTAACGCACTTGTAACGCCTCTGGTGTTGCGGATGTCCATAGGTGACGCCGATTGCTCACCATCAGGTGATCCGTCTGCTCGTTTACCGGCTTATGCCATAAAAAAACTAGCTACTCCCGCGCCGTTCCACTCCCTGCCCGGCTCATATCGATCGTAGCATGATATTTTATAGTCTTCTCTTTCTCTTTAAAAAAAGTATAAGATACTAACGCAGATAACAACCCGCCGATATCTCTAACTCTGGTGAAGGGCGAGACGTGTGGAGATATGCCGCCCATTCGTTCACTCTCAGCGAGCTGCAGTGCCTGACGCAACTCCATCAGCGTGTCGCCGCCGAAAACACACGCCATGAACACCTGGAAGTGATAACCTTAATCTATACTAATATTATAAGAGGAAAGATTTGTACCTATTTTTGTATGTTTGTATGTTTGTAATGAATAGGATCAAAAAGTACTGGGCCGATTTAAAAAATTCTTTCATCAATAGAATGCTACATTCTTCCAATTTGACATAGGCTACATTTCATTTTGAAAAAATTAGGGATCCTTGGTAAAATTTGAACAATGTAACTGAAGGTGTAGAAAAATGAGCCTTAAAATGTCTTTCGTCGAATGCGCTGCCGAAACTATTAGCGATAGAACAAAATAATGTACAACAATATTGAAGAACATCATAATGTCTACAAAAAACTCCGCGGTAGCATATGTCCAACTATTGTAGTTATGTCACTACAACAATCCAAATTTCCAAAAATAAATAATTGTCTCCCCCTGGGTAAAACCGTGCGAAGCCGGGACTGGCTGCTAGTGTTAAATAATACAGTAGTTGACAGGTAATCAAATTCAATACTTTTATTGAAATGTCAAAAACGATACTTTTCTATGAATTTTTTATTCGATCGCAACTTATCATTATTTTTGCGTCAAATAGCATACTTATTTCCTTAAAATTAGCGAGTAAATCCAAAAGTAGGTACATTGTCAAATCAATGGATGAGAGTATGATTATTTTTTAATTATTTATTGTATTGAAAAGTTGAAACCATTTATGTTAAACCTAGGCAACGAGCCAATTGACATAAAACGGCCCTAGAACATTCAAAATTGTACCTAGTAATAGGGTAGTATACTATTATTTTTTTTTTATTTTTTTTA